AAGACTTTCCCTTCTGTTTCGCTGGTCACACCTATAAAACACAAATACAGTAAGAATACCTCCCATAAAATGACGTTCTCATTAAGAACTATCTCACAATACAAAGTAATACCTGTTAATATAGACATAAGTGTAGTTTTGCCTGCTCCATTGTGTCCAAGCAAAGCAGTAATTTGTCCTTTGTAAAAGTCTACCGATACTCCTTTTAGAGCATCGACTTTCTAAAATATAATAACGTGATAGTATTCAAATATAATAAAAATATAAAATTTTTTCTTATATAAAATTCTTTCATATAAACTTACGGATTTTCGTAACCAGCTTGTGGTATAAGACTTTTTAAGATCACGTATTTGTATTCCAGGTGTAAGTGCACTACCGAATACTGGCTCAAAATCTTTATTAGTCTTGTCGTAATCAAATTCAGTAGCTTCATCATCAAGAGCTACTTTGTTCTTTTTGATACACTAAAATATAACAGCATAAAAATTATACCTCACATACACACATAGCATTTTTCTTCAATGTTAGATCTATGCATAAGTTCATCATTTTTAACAAATCGCGGTTTAGTCGACTTACAGTCGACTGATCTATGCCAACCATTTCTGAGAAATCTTGCATCATAGCTGGGTTTTCGTCAAGCAGGGCATGCAGCTCTACATCATCAGTTTCCTTGACACGACATGACCTCAGTCGAACATTAGTATTAGTATCGAAATCAGCATTCGGGAAGCATTTGTATGACTTTTTACACATCCTTATTGACACGTCCTCATCATACGTGTTGTACAAAATTCTTTTGGCTTCGACTATCTTTTTTTTATTAAAAAATGGAAGCATGCAGCGAAAGTGAAATTTGTCAGAGTTCATCTAAAACGAAGGCAAAACAACGACTATACAAACAAAATTCACAAAAATTTCCCGTGCGCCAAGCAGATGCTGGACAAGTCACGTGCATATTGCAAAAGCGCGTATGCGCAGTTCTTTTTTAAGCAGATTATTAATACGCGAACTTGACCATACGAACTTATGCACAGATGTAGTACTATTTATAATTCTTGCATAAAAACTTGCCTTTAAAAAATATAATGGATCCTTTCGGACTCCATATTTACCGGGAAGTACAGCATTTACATATACTGCAAGTGTAAAATGTATCACAGCACCCAAAATTGAAAAGAGAAATATAAAACCTGGACTTCCTACAATACCATATTCCGTTTCTCCAGGAACAAACAAATTATGCCACTGAATACCAATCACTAAAAGAAAAAAATAAAACAATACATATTATCCTTTAAAGTTTAACATACATACAATCCTTTAAAGTTTTTTAAATTAACTATTAATGTAGAGGGTGGTTTAAATATAAATGACTTTTTTTATGTGCATCAATGCGGACGTGTTTACATTGATTGTAACAAGGGCATTCCACACAAACTTGCATAGACGCATAAACATATGCATAAAGAAAATCATCCAATCGTACTTTACGTTTGTCTGTATGACAGAAATATGATGGATAATTTTCTTTATGCATATGGTCATGCGGCTCTGCAAGTTTGTGTGGAATGGTCCTAAGGGGGTGTCTGTTTACACTCTACATAGTGGACTCGCAGCAGCTGTTTCTGTAATCGATGTTGCGATATCCGAACAAATAGTAGAGAGTATCATTGCATACTTGCACCTTCTCCGAATTATCTATGTAGTTTACGTAAAATTTCGATGGCTTTAACATTTTCGAAAGAAACTTGATTAACATATGAACAATGCGTTGTACAATGCACCGGTATTATTTGTTCGGACATCGCAACAACTACTTTAGAACCAACTGCCATGGTACACAACTAGAGAGTGAACACACTCATCTGTTATTTAGTGTAAGTACATCTATCAATGCTGATTTGTATTCACACAAAAAATACTCATTCGTATTTGAAGATTTGAATCATCCTCATAATTACATAAATACATTGACAATGATTGCTTACATTTGCTTTCATGGGCATTTGATTCTTGAAGAAGTCTGTGAAGCATAATATTTGGAAATATTATACCAAAATATGGTATAACGCCGAAAACTTCACTCCTTATCATATTTTGATGGAGTGATAATGCTGCCATATAAATGATAGCTAAGGCAATTGTCACAAATCGTGCTGTAAAAAGATATTAAGATTATGATTTGTGCACTTCAATAATTATTCATTTTACAGAAAGATATCTACGTTTTGAGAAATATGCTGCAATATGCATGCCAAATGTTATAAGATGAGCGATGTGAGCAGTAAATATAAGCCAAAATATAAACGCATTTCCATATTCCAAAAGGGCCTCAACATTATCAGAAAAAGTATTCTTAAATAATATAATTGTTGGTATTATATAAATAGTGCTCATTAAAATTCCTGTAATTAACCAGCTAAGTAAATTGTAGACCACTTTGACTCCATTCATTGCCATTAAAACCTGAAAATAATGAAACAAATATTTTTTTGTGATTAAAAATATAAAAAATATAAAAAAATATAAAGAAAGAATAATGTACTAACATTTATGCCAATAAACTTTTCTTTTGATGCATAGTTGGTTTCCACACAAAGTGTAATCAAAAAAATTGTAACTCCAAATGAAACAATTACCATACGAAATATTGTATCAACCACATCGATTTTAACATATGGTGGATAAGGCATTCTTTGTATTGACATCTGAAAAATAACACCACGAAATGATTAAAAATATTCCATTATATCACAACCATATATTATTTACCTGGTCCTACATACATGTAATATTTAAATTTGTAAAATATTTTAATAATAAATTAATTATTAAAATATATGTATATATATTCTTTTTAACATATACCTTTATGTTAGAGTCTGGTGCTACTTGTTTTATAAATGCTTCATCCAAACAGATCTGAACTTGAATAAATGGCATCATTTCGAAATACGTCGAAGTTGATGCACTCAAACGTTCACCTGCTAAGTTTTGGTACAAATAATTTGGAACCTTCCATGAGTGTCTCAGTTTATATTTTATGGTAGGTTGATCATATTGTTTAAAAATAACAGCCGTTGCAGAAAGTATTGGATTTTTTGCCTGAGACCTTGTGTAAACATTTACTAGTTCAGTTTCATTAGCAAAACCATTCATATCTATATAAAAATAGAAAAGATATTATTTTAATGTCATAAACTATTAAAAGACACTATTTATATTTCTCAATCGCCATTTTATACTTACTTTCAGGCAGGAGACGAAGACAATGTCTAACAGATTCCATAATTTTATCCGTATATGCATTTTTTGGTACGTAATACACTTTATTTAAAGCATGATCAATTTTTTCCATTAACTCATCTTGTGTATATAGAGGATAATATGTGCTGACGTTCACCACAACTGGAGGTTGAACGCTGAAATCTCTCACAGCTTGCAATAATGCGAATACTATAATAGGTACTAAAGCTTGTAAGAAAATTGTCATACGCCAATGCCTTTTGCGTACTATCATATTTTTGTACATCAACAAGCCAAAAATTTTCCATCCGCTAGCCATTTCTATATCTTGATGTATTTCAATTTTATTTCAATATGGAAAAGGTTTATTAGCGGGCTGTATTCAAATATCTACAAATAGTGTATACACTACTTTGCCATTGAAAGTACACGAAGTCTCTTGAATAAATTATTGGAATTGACGTATATGTTGGCTTCAACTTAAAGCATATATATCATATATGAACTCTACAGCGTTGGTCATTAAAATGTGGAAATCTATTTATAATGTAGTAGTTTTTGTGGTATCATATAAAGAAATGTAATTTATTGTTTCTTCTTTACATATTAAGTCTGGTTTCTGAGGTACTGTTGTCACAGTAAATTTTACCTAAACAATCATAACCAATTAGTCATGAGTCATAGTATGAGTAAAGTAAAAATATAGAACATACATGATATTCACAAAGTCATTATTCATGATTTTAATATATAATTACTATAATAATTTAACTTCAATCTACCATTAATAATTATCAATAACATAACAAAGATTATTCAACAGCTTTTAAAGATCAAACAGTTTGATGTCATATCAAATACCGAGAACTATGTAAGAAAATATGTAAAGAATTTCCAGAAAAGACATGGAGAACTTATGATCGACAAGAAAAATGATAAGAACAAAAGCCTGCAGTTTCTCTCTTAAAAATTCGTCTGCCATTTTCCAAATTTACATGAGACTTCACTGTGTTCATTTAAACGTGACACAGAAACATATGTCCGAATTATATATTCAATTTGTTAATATTTTCAACTTACTTGCGTATGCCAACTGTACGTTGCTAGATGTTGTGTCAAAATGAACTTGCAATTTAGATAACACATGGGAATCGATACAAGCTCGTTTGTTCAATTTCCACGTCCTTATCATTCAGAATGCAAAAAAAAGACATAATGAGAGCTATTACATGTACGATAATGATTTGACAACTGTATGCATAAACATACTCACGAGAACTGTCACACTTCACACCAGTTTTCCTCAGAGACATTCAATAGCGAAGTTGTACGTCTTATAAAGCTTCATCTTATCACATTATCAAAGACAATGATAATTTTGCGACGCGTTATATTTAAACACTTAATTACAACGCGTCGCATAGCATCGATAGCGTGTGCCAACACTCGACGTCATACCGTCATACACTGGTCATACACCGTCAACTCAGGAAACTACTCGTTGCCAATTGTTCGATCCTCACTGCTAAACGTGCTGAATTGCTGTAAAAAATGCGGGTGCGATAACGTATCATATAGAGGGGAAACTGTACGTAACGTTATAGAATGTATTCTGTTACATTTAATGCAGTCTGCAAGTACTGAAGATCTATAGTACATGTGACGTGAACTATAGATTTTCACTCGCAGTGAATAACGGGACGTACCCACAGCCTTGCATAGCCTTTGATTCCTACGTATGCCATATGGTCACCGATAAAATACTATTAAATACTTCCCATTTATACCCGTTTCTGCTAATGTATTTTAAATAATTTCTAGTTCTGAAAATTAGAAAAAGATGAAGAATAAAATTGAACTGTAAATTAATAATCTACGTTGGTAGAAACGAGCCTAGCATTAGTAGGTGCCCTCCACTTAAGATCTGCGAAGATTTTCAGCCTATAATAATAATCTATATCATATAATAATCTACAAGGGGTGTCTCACAACTACCGAATTTTCTTTTAAGGACACATTCTTGAGGTAATTTCGCAGTGTCAAGTGTTGCAAGAAGAAACGTTTCTACTTCAACCCCTGTGAGTCAGATAATTAAATAGAGTTAATTGAGAGTAGTGAATAACAGCGAAGCAAGATATGAATATATGATATAGAGCAGACCACTGCTACGTTACATACACGTGTACGACAAGCACTGGACAAAGGTTGGATATATCGGTGAAACAATAAATGAAAAACTACATAACAGATATTATCATTTTATAGGAAATTTATCTAAACATTGTTATACGTATTATTCAGGTGATAGAATTTTAGATGCTATAAGAAGTGAAAAGGAAAAGAACATATTGGTTGGATTGAAACAGCAACAGGTCCTTAAAGTTCCCAAGTTTGATAGCAACAATCTGGTACTCGTAGACGACAACGTAGGCACAACTCTTGGTACAAGAATACAGGTGCCTATTCCTCATATATTCCAAACGAAAATGAAAGAACAGACTTACAGCAAAGGAGCAGATTATACTAAACTAATAGCGATTGCATCCAGGTTCGTTTAGTATATCTTGTCTATTATTATATGTATTAAATATTTCATTATAATATTGTACTTATTTAGTATTTTCCACAAAACTTGTAATATGGAAGTGTATTACTCATGCATCTCTGTGTATTTTGATGTATATTAATATTTTAGTAAAATTATCACATTTAAACCTATTTTTTGTTATATATGCACTAGAGATATGTTCCACTTAACACACCTTTGTAATGTACTCGTCATCACAGCATCTCATCCTTGTTTAATGTTTGATGACAAGAAGGATGAAATGATATCGCGTATTCTATGTATACATGCTGTGACTTTAGTACGTAAGTATAGCGCTGGCAAGTGTAACTTTAGTTCAATTATCAGCCACGTGATGTCTATCACTTTGTATTTAAGCGATTATTTAAATTAATTGTCAAAGGTATATTATGCCTATGTTAATTGATTTGATATTTTTATTAAGATTTTAGCAAATTACATAACTTTAATTCTTCGCCTTTAAATAAAATACATTATCAAATTTGTCTTTATCGAATTTGCAAATCAAATTAGTAATGCAAATAATCCTTCAATTCCCGAAAGCACTTGTTTTCAATACGATTCCTATATAAGAATAGAATATAGATGAGTATTTCGGATCCTCAGGGGTAGAGGATCGGTAGTCTGATACTGGTGAAGAAAGTGTCCTTTGCTGTCCTTAATCTGGGAAGTTGGAATAGAGATCAACATGGTTTAATCATCAAAATCTTTATTCAATAGTTTCAACAGGCTCGGCTACAAAACAATACAAAGCTGTGTTTCAGCATTGCAAGTGTGATGAACAGCTTTCAAGGATCTCATACCGAAAAAGAAAGGTCTGAAAAAACAGACCCAAAAAACAGTTGGACAGTATTTGTGTGGGCCCTACGAATATTGTCCAGTCTACAAAAAAAAATACAATGAAAACAAATAGCCAATAAACTAATATAATCAATAAGCTATACATAGTACTAACTTATTGATTAACTCTAGTTTACAACACTAATACTCTAAAACAACTAAAACCAACACCATACAGTATTATTCCGTAACAGTATTACATCACACTTCTGTTGAACACAGCTTGATATCAGTTAACAGGAGCCATTGGACAGCAAAGGCACTATCCTTATTCTATCAGTAACGTCGACTACTTTTTTGCGTTTAGCATAACGCAACAGTTATTTTGCTGTTCAAAAATTTTTATGACTATCTAGTCTAAAGCCAGCGGCACACGATGCTCTTTTTCCTGCTGGATTGCTTGTGTGCTACTGTGCTGGCAATCTGACTGGCTACTATGCTGGAAATTGTATGGCTTGCAGGCCCCGCTGCTGGCTGATCCGCTGGATTTTCGTGATAGAAC